GCCGGGGCGCAAACGTACTGCGAATTCATTTTCGTTGTGTGTTTCCAGAGATGGACGTTCGAACGCAGCACCAGAGACATCCTCGAAAAAAACGCAATTATATTCTGAAACCCTCGAACCTGGGCTGAACCAATATCATTAATATATTCTGAAAGAACGTGTATAAAAAGTGGCAGCTCGATGTAGATCTATCGCTTGGTTTCCTGGTTAAATAAATCATTTTCAACCTTAATTACTGCGACGCATGAACAGATCTGCACTCTGAAGCTATTGACTTTCTGTGTCGCGTCCTCATATTTTGATATTTCATATTTTTATTAAAAAGAAAATATTTATGCATCGCTGCCAGTCTGCCACAGCGCCAGCTTACCGAGCTCAGCATTTGGGGGTTTTTTTTTGTTTTTTTTTTAAAACAAAACAAACAAAATTACCAAATACATACATAATAAATAAATAAATAAATATTTAGTTCTTACTTTTTAGACCCCAAATCCCAATGACAATCTGCGAGAAAAAAAAAATTCCAACGACGGTATAAAACTAAATAAATATAAATTGTACCCAGAGATGCGTCATACCAGAGGGTCAATGATAAATATTGAATATATTTTTTTACCAAATTATTATACAAAAACAATTATGCCTATTTTTTTTAAACATATTTGTTTAGCCCTCTAAATATAATTGTTTTTAAAAAACAACAAGACAATTGAACAGCCTAAATATATCGTAAATATATATTTTATTTACTATTCATTCAAAAGAAACATGTCTGATTTTGAAGCCTATGAATTTTTTTATTTTTAAAAAAAGAAAAAGCAAATTGCTATAGGGCAATATGATATATGTATTTATTTGCGGAATTTGTGCAATTCGCACGGAATTGTTTTCAGTCCGCCACAGATGTCAGTTTCTCATTCGCTGAATAGATCTTTAGATTCGATTCCATTCAGATTCGGATTCGGATTTCAGGGTGCATATAAATAACAGTCTAACACAAACATTTCGCCACCAGAGACAATATCATTTCCAAAAGATTTACTTTTCTCTTGTAGGTATAACCAAGTAACCACAGACTTAGTCATTAGGCACCAAGCATACACGGCGTAGAAATGCTTTGTTGTTCTGTCTCACTTAATACCATTAATATATTATTGTAGTACAATGTTTGCGAGGATAGTTCACAGATCTATCCGACCTCTCTGGTCACTAAACTTTCCCAGAATAGAGAAGGGTACTAAAAGTATGAAAAGAAGGTATGCCTCTATAGTAGCTTCGTACGGACTATTAGGGATCACGGCGTATGGGTTTTACAATGCCAAACAGGTAAGAGCGACACTCGTTACCGACCACATTTTGTCCTCAAGAGAATGATTTAAATACATACTACTATACACAGTTCACAATTTTATTTTATAGCTATCCACTTTACATCCCGTTTCGTAGGCTGCAGTCGCCGAACAAAGTACAATTGAAGCGACAGTGACCCGCCGACCGTTTGATTTTGAATTGCCACCCTTCGCCAAAAATATGGCGGTGCTGAGCGTTGGCGCTCCTTCTTGTCCTTTGTCTGTGTCTGGTCTGAAATCTGCCAGATTTTGCCACTTAGATTCCATGGGACTTCGTCTGGCGGTACCCACAGTGGCCATGTGTGCTGCAAAAATAGCTTACGAGCCTGTTTACCGTTCTTCGCTAATTGATAAGTTAAGATTAAGAAGGAACTACGTTCCCGGGATGATTTTGCGTACTCATCTTGCAACAACTTATGTGTAAATGCGTGTTTGTACTTCAAGATAACTGAATGTAGAACATGATGTACATTAGTGCATGGATACGTATTCCAATACAACATATCGTTTCGCATACAATGTGAGCAGGTGAATCAGATGATTGATTCGGTTGATCTGATTAAACTTAATAAAAGAACAGCATTGATGATTGGGATTTTTGTGGTTTTCCTTCTGCAATTCACCACTCTTCTCTCCTTAGGTTCATCCAAATAAAAAATAGAAATGATTTTGGCTATACTCGCTTTCTTGTCACTAAAACTGATATATCTCCTTCACTCTAGAAAGTTTTACAAGAAAATATGCATGGGGCACTGCAAAAGCTCTACATACTACTTCGTGAATATGAACAAACACGACCACCATGGTGGTTGATGTTGCTGATCGCGGCGATCGTCATTGGTGATATACGAGCAAGACGAGTGGATGGGATTGCACAGCAAGTTAGCAGACTAGTGACGTGGAGTATTGGCGGTTGTGCTTTTTGCTTTCCCTTTTCGATCATGCAGGTATGTATTTATTAAATACTAGTACTATTTATACGGGCAGATTTTTGTAAACCAAAAATTTTGAATTTACACTTCTTGTACGTAGAAGAACATAAATATATAAATATTTTTGTTTCCAAGTTCCTGCATCCTCATTTCACAGGGCATACTATTCACTTTAGAGAAAACTTTCGAGGTCATCGATAAATGTGGAAACGCACAGTACAGTCCGGCACCATTCTTTATCAGTTTGGACTTGATGTTTGTAAGCATATTTGCGATACGAAGCTGGCCTACAACTGGGCTATGGCACAATCTCCTCTCCTTCCTAAAAAATGATATGTATATATTGTTGTGTCTGTGGTACCCAAATGTATGCCTCATGGTAAGTCACATTTTCGATTCCAGCATATATTTTTAACTCCCCTGATTATACTTCGTGTTGTAGAAGTGGTTTGAACCGTTTGTTATGATTTTAATTGATTCTACTAATAAAATCACTCACTTCAAATTTTCCATTATTAAAATTATTGAACAGTCCTGTAATGAAGTCATTAAACAACTGGAAACATGGCTGGTAAGCATATCAGACACGGGTTCCGAGCATGATTTCGGCCCTGTGATCGCACAGAAAATTACTGAGGAACGGGCCAGGACAGAAAAAAATTGGAGGGTGGACCAGAACGATAGATTCAAAAAGTGGTCTGAACACGAAAAGTTTCAGTGGATATCTGATTCTCAGCGGGATCGAATACAACTTATTCGGCTGGAATTGCGTCTTCATCACTTGGACAAAAAATAGCCCTTCTCGAGAGAAAGACAGATGTGACAAACTTGGACCCTGAGATGAGAAATGCCAATGAGGCAAGGTTGTGGAGGTCCTTGGTTGACGAACGGGAGTGTCTGACACAGAAAGTTAATAGCTTCAGAGCGAAGGTCACAATTTAATGTGTCACAGGAAGCAAGATTGAGGACAATTTATATAACCTGAACACTAAGGGATAGATTATCAATACTATATCGACCTGCCACTTCTACACGGTCATTCAAATAAATGTGTATCGTATGTGTGACATCCTCTGCGCCGGTGAACTTGTTGCAACGGGATGTATTGATGCGTACCGAGGGCGATTAAACGTGGTTCGCTACGTTGAGTTGAGTCGCCAACTCAGTATTCAATCACTAAATCAATATACCGGGGCGCAAACGTACTGCGAATTCATTTTCGTTGTGTGCTTCCAGAGATGGACGTTCGAACGCAGCACCAGAGACGTTCTCGAAAAGCGCAATTATATTCTGAAACCCTCGAACCTGGGCTGAACCAATATCATTAATATATTCTGAAAGAACGTGTATAAAAAGTTGCAGCTCGATGTAGATCTATCGCTTGTTTTCCTGGTTAAATAAATCATTTTCAACCTTAATTATTGCGATGCATGAACAGATCTGCATTCTGAAGCTATTGACTTTCTGTGTCAGATACTCTCGTTCCTCAATCAATGACCTCAACAACCTTGCAGTGTTTTTATAGTGAAGACTCTCAGACGCAGACTTATGATCTTCCTCAATGGAGCATTTTATCTTGTGTATACATACTCTTTTGTATATAGTTGGATCGCGACCACTTCGCACGAACGTCAGAAGTTCGGAACACGGCATCTACGGACGTATTTTAAGCCGTATTGCATCACTCGTTTTGAGAAGATGGAGATGACAACCTCGCACTTTAAGAAGGCAAGAGCCAATGTGGCGAGGAGATCGTTGGCTGAGGAGTGAGAGTGTCTGTTTGTTTGACAGACTGACACAGAATACCAATTTCCTCGCAGCGGGTAATTCCACGTTGCAGAGCAGTGGAAGACGATCCGTAAAATTAGAATATTAAAAAATTGACAATTAAATTTATCAATACACACCGAGCTGTCTCCTTTACATTGGTACGAAATTATTTGTGTATTGAAAGTGTGGCATTTCCTGCGCCGCTGAGCATGTTGCAATATAGTGTTTTAAAGCATACAGAGAGCAAAAGCTCTATGGCTTGACCGTGCACGCGTATCATTCACTGCCTCCATACTACGCTTCATGCTACAGCATAGAGACTCATCCACAACCTCTATCTGCAGAATTGAAGTCTATCACTATGAACCACTGCCTCTATACAACTATGCCATCCGCAGACTCTATCTGCAGAATTAAGTCTTTCACTACTATTCCTGGGACGTGAGTGAATCTTTGTCTCCTTGAAATAGAAGCGCCAAAATTTATCTACGGAGTCTCTAACCTCAGATCAGAGATTGCGTTGGACGGGACTGTAGCTCGAACAGTCCAAATTCTGTACATCTTGGAACATATACAATCGTCTTATAATATCAATTGAGATTCACGAGAATTCCCACCATTGAGAAGACATATTGGGCGTACTCCAGAATTTATTGGAGGTCTATTTGAGATTCATTCCCTCACTAGCCCTAATCAAAAAAACTTTTTGGCTTATCGATGCCATTTCAATATAATTCGCTCGTGTCTTTTCACACAAGTGTTGAGGTTTAGGGTCCCCCTTCCTTCAGTTGGTTCTCCTTAAGAACGCGGTCCGCTTCGGATTGTTTGTACTTCGCATAGGTGAATACAATGCCCGAGAAGATGCCAAACCCAATACTCACTCCTGACGCAAAAGTGAGGGGTTGGGCAAACACCAAGAACGATAGAATGGTCAATGGGATCTTGTTGAGTGATCCTACCATACTGTAGGTAGTAGGCGACGTCTCGTTTATGCACCAGAATACAGACAGGGACAGGCCTGTACCGATTGCACCACTGACAAAGAGGGCCAGCAGAAACTGAGGGTCGTAGAGATACTCACTGCGTAGTAGGAAGACAGTAGTAGTGGACAAGAAAATATGAGCAACGTGCCATGTGTTGGTGAGAAAGTGACCATAAAGAGATATAACAAGCGTGCAACTACTGAAATAGAATTCGTTCACGCACATATACATATACATATACATACATGCATACATATAATTAATTAATCTTTGTAGTGAAAAGATATAACTCGAAAAATAAATAAACGATGCTCATATAAATAAGCAAATAGATAAATACAATGCAGCAAACAAACCTCTACAAGTAGCCACTTCCATCTCAATGTACACATACTTGCAGATGCATGTATATATATATCATCAACGAATTCTATAAAAAGAGCATACGAGATATATTTATCTTGAATGAAATCCATTTCTGTCCAAGTACTACTTGTTAAAGAGCAAAAGGTGTTGTGTAAAAGACACTGGGCGACAGATGCAAACGCACACCTCAAGTATATACATACGTTGTTACCTACGCTCGTATCCACACGCACACACACATATATATATATATATACATACATATATATATACATACATACATATATATATATATATATATACGTACACATGAATGAAATTCACACAGAACACTTACAATTCCTGCACGCCGGTGACCTCGCCATTCAGGAAGGCAGCAGGGATGGTGAGACAGCAGGTAAGGACGTTGTTGTAGAAGGACATGCCCCACTGATCCAGGTTGGTGTTCTGCTTAGCCTGGCGAATATACAGAGTGTAGCCTGCCGTGCCTATACAGTTAAGTGCCATCCATATATAGCCCGTCAGGTTGAAGGAGATGTCCGTCCAGGCCGATAGAATAGACCCCGTGAGCATGAGTATAAGGGCCAGTACCACTCCAGTGGACACGTGTTGGTGGTAGAAGTGCTTGTCACCGTATGCGATCTGAGGGCAACAGGGCAGCGCAACGAATGCAATGAGTGGGTGTATCAATACGCACAGTTGGGAAGATAGGCATGTGGTAGGGGTATGGTATGGATGAGTGAGTATAGGTAAGTACGGTTGGAAAGATAGGCATGTGATAGGGGTATGGTATGGATGAGTGAGTACTGGTAAGTACGGTTGGTAAGATAGGCATGTGATAGGGGTATGGTATGGACGAGTGAGTATTGGTGAGTACGGTTGGTAGGATAGGCATGTGATAGAGGTATGGTATAGAGGAGTAAGTATTGGTAAGTACGGTTGGTAAGATGGGCACGTGATAGGGGTATGGTATGGACGAGTGAGTGTTGGTGAGAAGGGCCTTGCACAGGAGCAGCAGAGGTGCTGAGTGTATGTGGAACGGATATCACCACGGTTGGGAACAGGTCAACACACTACCGCAGGCATGGATCAGATAACCAGTCACATATGCTGAGAATATGTGATCGACTGATCGTATGCTGTAATAGAATTGAAGATTGGGGCGGTCTGCGGAGATCTGACTCAATACAGGCACACAGAAAGACCATGCGAGAGACATGGGGGTGTGATTTGGATTCGCAGGGTTTAGAATTTGGGGTTTAGGAGTGTGTGAAAGGCACAGTCAACACGGAGAGATTGGTATTGAAATAGGTGGAGTGATAGCACATTCACGACTGATCAATATATTGTCATGAGATCAACAAAGCCCTCATATATACATATATATTCATATACATACATATATATCTCTATATATATATATATATATATATATATAACATACATATATATATATTATATAATATAGATATATACATATATATATACACACACACACACACACATATATATATATATATATATACCTTTATCTATAACTATTGGTATAGTAGTTCAGTCAAACTACATACACTAAAGCAACACTGTATAACAGCTACAGCCACCTCAGCACATACCAATATATTCGTCAGATTCTTAAACACCGTCACCAGAGGGATGGTTAAGTAGTTGAGTGACTGGCTTCCCGTGTACAGCATCACGCAGAACAACACCGTGGCGGGAAACCATTTCTTGGCCACTTCCACGTCAAAGGGATTGAGGCGTATGTAGCCCTGCAGCTTCATGACGTACAGTAGGACGGCAGCTATACTGCACTGTGCAGAGAGCAGCAGATTGACATACTGGCCAAAGTGATAGGAGCTCAGACACAGCTTGTTTCTGTGGCATGGGGAGAGGGGTGGAGATGGAAAAAAGTGAGGGGTCGGTGATATGTACTGATGGAGTATACTGTCGGTTTAATTTATAGATGGGGAGTATAGTATCAGTTCTATTTATAAATTGAGTATAGGACAATACTTAGGAGGGTATACGCCTATCTACTGCTGCGCGACTATTTAAACCTATTTTTGTGGGGCATGTCATTGATTAGTATAAGCTCACACAAAAAAGGTATCTCAAAAACACGAATACGCCGCGAATCATATGATACAATGAACAGCTTTTAATCATAACGAATGGACATGCATCTATAACCATACAAACGATAGTGCTACAAGCATAAATATATATCTAAATATGTTTATACATTTGTATGTAAATGTAGTCGCATGTATTACATATTACACACACAATCATATATATATATATATATGAATATACATAGATGACCACACTGGCGTAGACAAGAACAGAAGCAGTAATACAGAGAAAAAAGCACATCATACATATATAAGTTGCGATAGGATTGGAGCTCATGCGCATATGTAAAAAATTATCCACATATATATATCAATTTAGGACATATACTAACGGAAATATGTATACATAAATGGGAGCAAAGAGTATATAGAATATATACAAGAAAGGAATATGTGTATATATTCATATATATCAAATTTCTATATACTGTATACTGTATACTGTCAACTGTATATATATATTTACGTACACAAATATTCGTGATCATTAATGGACTAAAGATATTAAATATTTTCGAAAACGTTTATAAATATAAATATAACGAATATGTATTACTATAGGTGTAAATAGTTATATTTATTACATTCATATACATATATATATATGTATATATATATATATAAAGATGTTTATGTATATCAATTAGTATATATATATATATATATACAATGTATTTTTATTTGTATATATGTTTATGTTATTTATATA